GCAAAACCTCTCTCTCTCTCTCTCTCTCTAGCCTTTTTCATTAATTGCCATTGACTGAGTAGGACTGGGCCCAGTTTGAGAACGCTCAGTTGCCACTAGGAAGCTGTACTCTCCTTGGTCAAACTCAACCTGATGACATTTACCCCTTTGCTCTTGGCTAAATGAAATGACTGGACACACATGGACACACAAAGCAATCTCAGTAATTTAACACATACATCAGACCAGTAAATGCACATTTCTGTCTTAAAGGGGTGCTGGAAACAGCCAGTTACTTACTCTGCTCACTCTTCTGTTTAGCATGCTGTTTATAACAACACATTTATTTTAATGTCATCCCACTATGGTAGATGAACTTCTCTTAAGCGACAAAATGATGCACCAATCCCGCATCACTCTGCTGTATCAGATCATCAAATTATCGTGACACTTTGTTGGGTGCGATGCAGAATGCCAGGAGGTTTAATGGCCTAAACATCTGGCTTCATATTCACTGATTCATAAGCTATGAATTTGTGAATATGAAGCCAAATGTGTCTCCTTTGAGGATTCACGGTGAGTAAGGAAATATGAGTTAATGCATTCATAAATGGAAACCCTGTCCTTACAAGTGGGGCCAGAATATGAGCATTCTGTCAATATATCGCCTGATCAATACAGCCATTACAATAACAAATGGAACTGTGGTCACAAAGGTCAGGGGACATAAGCAGATCTCTGTGATTGTTTTCTTTGTGTTTGTTTGATATTTTATAGCTGCTTCATACAGCCAATACACAGGAGTTACTGTTTTCAATAAAGTTTTTAGAAAAGTCAAGGTAATCATTGTCTAGATCAGCGCAGCAATACCAAAATCCACATATTGCAAATAATATCTCTGGTTACTCTCTCTATGACAAACTATTATCTAAACTAATCTCTTTGTCTTTTCCCACCCTCTTTTGTCAAAATGATTTTCAATACCTCCATCTCCACACATTCTCTCTCTCTCTCTCTCTCTCTCTCTCTCTCTCTCTCTCTCTCTCTCTCGCTTCCTACCTTTTTAATAAGGGAGGCCACTTAACTGTGACTGCAGCCCTCCAGTGCAGGGTTCATTAATGCAAGCAATTTATCAACAGCCCACAATATGTAATTGTCAACTATTGAAATTTCATATTGAATTTGAACGGCTGCACACACAGTAATAATCTCAATATAGGTGTCCACAATGGTAGTGCATATTTATCTAATTCAAAGTCCTTCATCTTGTTCACAAACACTATGTTTGTCTTTTTCTATTCTCATAAACATGCAAATCAATTCTTTAAATTGTAATTTAAAGAAATCAACTCCCTAAAAGCCTGCTATGTGTAGGTACACATCTGAAATACACACAATACATATGACACATTCAAATCACATGAAAAATACACACACAGATAATCAGTCCAGACAAGCTGGAAAGGTAGAGCTGTTAAATAGCTCTTGACCAGAGTGTTTTTAGATCTGTCACCATGTCCAGAGGTGTCTGGTCATGGTGTAGGGTTCAGTATTCTGGCCTTAAGGATCAGCTAACAGTTGTGTAAACCTGAAAAGACACAACATGTCTTCCTCTTACTCAAGTTTCCTCCCTCTAACTCTAGCACTCCCTATTAGTCAGACAACCTTTGGGTTGAAGGTTAAGCGTGTAAGGTAGCTGTTTACCATTGCGTTGCAATGCAACAGAAATCTACACAATGGCACTGCGTGCCAGTTCCATCCGTCCTGCTATTGTGGCAGTACAAAGGTGGAGCAGGAGATAAGACAAGCCTACAGAAGAGTCTCCACAGCTCAACTGTTTTTAAAGACAGTGTTGCTACCACCGTGACTTGTGTTTAGTTTAAAAGGAAGAAGACACTTGTAAATCCATAGGGTAGTGCTGGCTTTACACAGACTACAACAGTTTGTGTGCACCAAGTCCCAGCTGAGCTACTTTGCAGAATAAAACCTATGGTGAAACTCGATCCACAAGCTGTACCTCTGTATAATGGTGAAAGATAGCTCTGGTGAAGACCTGCAGACAAAAGCAGGCTCCAGTTTCAGCAGTCACATTGCTTTGTGGTGCCTGTGAGCCATCATATGTGTAAGAGTAAGCAAGAAAAGAAAGGCAGCATACACTGCCTAAATAGGCCTGTGTTTACCCTACGTAGTATTTGACTGGTGGTATGATGAAATAGAAGTTACACACCCACACTTGCTTTGGGCATTACCTTATTTTGCAGACCCATGGGAGGGGCTCTTTCATGCTGCTAGGAGACATTTCAGTCATGCATAGACATGCACACACACATATGCACACAAGCATGCATACACACCTCTTTTTGTACTCAATTCATCTCTGACCTTGACAGAGAGCTGCAGAGAGTTTTTAAAAACAGTTCTGTCTCTCTTAAAGAGTTACAGTTGGTGGATAATTTTGATTATTGCCAGCAAAGATTATATTTTAATTACTTTCGAATAATTTTGATTTGTTGGAATTTGCCTTGCTCATGTTGAATCCCTGAATTCAGACCATTAATGTGAAGAATTAATTTATTAGGCACAATTTGAAATGAAAATCAGTGTCTGTCTGAAATGAACTTTTAGCTTGACTATAATTGCAAATTATCTCTTTTTTTTCCAGGTCATATCGACCATTCTGAGATCTAGTTTTATTAACTCAACATTTATGAGCAGTGACACCACCAGTACCAGTACAGTACAGTTGGTAATAATATAAAAGTGTTTTTGTTTTTCATGAATGATGTAGATGATTATATATTGAGCAGATAAGATTAACCTAATTACTGAAATTGTGTAGCACACATTAGGATCCAACAAACTCAGATATTTGCTAATTAGTCTTTGTATAGCTTCTCTTTAGGAGCTGATTACACTGATTTAACACACACACACACACACACACACACACACACACACACAATCTGACACAACTTTAAATCACTTAATGCAATCTAATACCTGCAGGTATTTTCACTTTACTGCAGCTACTTTTCTTTACACTGCTGACACACCATGTGCAAATGCATAGTGTCATAGTTACAGCAGTACTGTAAAGGTTTACGTAAACCACTGCCTGGTAGTATTTGGCACCACACAAAGATTCGCTTTGTGAATCGATGCAGCATCAAGGCCTTGAGCAGGTCCTTGTCCATGGCTGAGAATTTGCATTTAAATTGCATCGCCCACACAGCCTGATGCACTGCACCTGGAGAAGTACAGAAGGAGCTGGGATGAGTTCTGGAGCAATGACACATTACTACTGTATTTCACAAACAACAAAACAACCAGATCTCTGTTTGCTTTTTTATCTTATTTCTTACTCTCTAATGTTTGTGTCAGTCAGCCATATATACATATACATGTCATATAAATTACTATAGTAAAAGTTACCAAATGTGTTTGTATATTAACAATTCAAGAGTTTGTGTTTGTTATCTGGTTTCTCCCTTGACCAATACAGGTGTGACAGGCAGTATAATATAACAAGCTTGGTCAAAGATTAAGGAGAACATGTAACATTCCACCACGGGGAGTATCCTTGACATTCATTGACCAAACAGACCCATTAGCACTCCTATTACCTACATTTGCAGTGGGTGAGTGATTCTGGAGAAAACAAACAGCCTTATTCTTGACTGCTTGCCCTCATGTTCTGTCATTTGGGGACAGAAGCCCCGAAATGCATTAAAGTGCTTGTTCATCATGAAGTAGCCCATGCTGTTTAAAAGTCACTGAAGATCAGTTAAATTAGATTTGATCCTGTAGGCTGCTCTTTTGGGACATGGTCACAAGAGTGACTGAAGGACAAGCTAATATTAGACACAGTTATAGGGGAATGGATGATGTAGCCAGTGACAGCAAGTCTGCCAAGACGTAGGCTAACACAGAGACATTCAGACAAGTTATAATGTGCCTGTCTCTTTCTCATTTTATTCTATTTAACCAGGAAAAAGTCTCATTGAGATTGATCTATTTTCCTAGATTTATATGGCCAAGACGGCAGCATTAACATGGTTATAAACAGACAATACAAGGTCAAAGTTATGATGCATAACCAAGATGGCTGGACACCATTGAAAAGTGTGAGTCAGACCTGTAAGTGCCATAGTTGTAATAATGGATGTGCAAGTGTGAATATACATACATCCAATCTCCTATATCGTATACACCCATGATAACTTGTTTTAATTATGCAATGGCAAAAGAAACAAAGAACAAAAATAGGTCAGGAAGCTGTACACCATCGACTGTGGTTATGTTGCTATTGAGGACTTTGAGTTTGCGTGATTTTTTTTTTGTAAGAAAATCACAATAAAAATCCAATATAGACTTAGAAATAGTTCTGTTTAACTTAATAATGGAGTTTATAGTATAGTATAGTAGTAGCATATAGTGTTCAAATCACCTGTATTTATTCTACTATTAGGAGTGACAGCTGTGTGTGTGTGGTTCAATAGGGAGGGGGTTGCCTCTGTTAATCTGCTGTTTCATCATACCTAACCTACCACACATTTGAATGCCTCACCACATTTATCCTGCTTCTTCCACTGAGTTCCTGTAAAAAGAGATTGCAGTGATGAGGAAGCTTTGGTTTCCTTTTTTGAGATCATCTCTACTAGTGAACTGAAATTGACTTTACTTCCCTTTCAAACGCACACCCCTGTCATACCACCACAGTATGCTTACTGTCACATTTGTGCACACTTGTAATACATTTATTATCTGATCATTACACTTTTGTGACCTTCAGTGGAGTAACTTAATTTTTTTTTTTTTTTTTTTTTTTTTGGGGCTGTTGCGAGAAATGACATGCAAACCCTCTGCATGTTTTCTTTTGAATCAGCCAGCACAAAAAAAAAAAAAAAAAAAAACACCACTGTTTTATCTTTTTTGCATACTGGTGCAACACTGGGCATGTGTATGCGCCGTAGTCCAGCCCCGCAAACCCGCCCACCACCCGCCCCTCTTCCCTTCGGTGCGTCTCGGTCCGCCCGCAGCAGTCTCCTTCTCGGCGAGGGTTCACTACAGAGATGGCTGCGAAAGTGTGCAGATCAGTACTCCTGTTGTCCCGGAGCAGCGGAGCGGTGGCCGGCAGCCTCCCCGCACTTGTTGTCTCTTCACAGCGACATCATCAGCACATAAGACCGGTAAGTCCCAGGACATCTGTGTGCGCACAAGGGGAGAGGTGTGGGACCGGGGGGCAGGCAGGCTGGACCCGGAGAGAAAAGCAGCAGCAGCGGTGGTGGCGGCTGGGCTGGCTAAGGAAGTAAAGCTAACTAGCCTCAAGATTTTCCGTTCATGTCTTTTCACGGAAAGGTGAGGCACAAGATGAGTCATGAATATGTATCCCGACCCGGTGCCGTGTGGTTATTTTAATCCACAGTGGGACGTGGAGCTTTTGACAGAGGCAATGCAGTTTTTTTTTTTTTTTTTTGGAGCGCTTGCTGAAGCCCATCAACACCCCACTGGCACTGCCCCGCCGTTTACTGTAACCAGCCCTTCAGACACTCTGCCCTGCTTTCACATAATGCCTCATATGTTCTCTCCCGCGTCCTTCAACTTTGCAGGCGTATTCCCCCCCTCCAACCAGTGTTTGTTCTGATTCTGTGTGTGGATTTGAATGCGATCCCGTTTTGAAGCCATATTCCTGCAGTAGATGTTGGGATCGGTTTCATCACCGACGGCCGGCTGATGGGTGTCTTATGTTTGTTGCGGTTGCATTAAGGATGTTTGGTGTGAGCAGCTTTTATAGGCTGCAGCAGCTTTCCTGAAGGTTTTGGCTGACAGTCCATGACCGATGGTTCCCCCCCATCTCTCTGCTTCTTACATGCTGTGTGAACTGCAGCGTCTGTGTGTGTGTGTGTGTGTGTGTGTGTGTGTGTGTGGTGGTGGTGGTGGTGGCAGAATAACTCAGAATAATGAATGTCTGCCAAGAGCTAGAGAGGAAAACTACAGTTGTGCTTGTGTGTTTGTGTGTGTGTGTGTGTGTGTGTGTGTGTGTGTGTGTGTGACAGATAACTCTGTTAATACATACACACACACACACATACATATGAGACTTCACAGAAACATGGACACTTGGATGATGTCAGACTCTCCAGCCAGCCTGCTGTTTCTCCCCTCCCTGCGGGTGTTTCCCCATTCAGCTGGGAGATCCTGGGTTTTCCTGCAAGCTGATGTGGGCCCTTTTTTACACGGCCACTGTAGCAAAAGATTGCAGCCTCACAATGCTCACAATAATAGGAAGGTAATTGTGTTTACCAAGCTGTCTCTACAGTGCAGTAGTTGCACATCTTGTTCTTGCCTCTGTGACCCACTCCCTCTGCTGAAAGTCTGAGCCTCTACAGCGGCTGCCTGAGGAGGGAGGTGAAGCACTGGGTGGACTTGAATGCGAAGGAATGAGGAAGTCATGGCTGCTCGAGAGCTACTTTCACAGTAGCTTGGAGTACTGTGATTCTTTTTTCTTTTCTTTTACTTTATTTGTCTGGCGATTACCTTCCCCCCTCTCTCTCTCATGTTTTTTTTCTGTCTCACTCCTTCCTTACACAAACACTAGCACACTTGCCACAGGCCTTGTGAAATTAAATGAGGCTCTTCTTCCTGTGAAACAGACCGGCCTGGAGGTTAAGTAGCTGTCAGAATAGACTCGCTTGGTCCACATCTCCACACCGGCCCCTGGTGCCGTCGCCCACTGTGAACTATTACAATAGAGCACATTTACCCCCGTGGAGAGGTAATATTCTCCCCTCTTCTGAAATAAGTATGCCTATTTGAACCATAAGTGATTTAACAGAGTGAGTTGCGGCTCACTGTGTTTCGGCAGACTTGGCCCTAATAAGTTTTCATTTTTTTCAGTCCGCTCAGGTTGTAGTTTTGTTTGCTTGTCATATTGTGTCTTCGTCCATTGAAGCGTTGCCGCGGCTGCAGTTCCTAACTCGGGCCTGTCACAGTGTGACAGCTAAGCTTCTGTATTCATTTGTGACTTCTTCACTGCAGTGTGGGAACTCTGTTTTCCACAGTGGTGTCTATAAAGCTGCAGTGGGACAGGTTCTTATGAGTTGTCATTAAGCATGTAGTGTCTCTTAGCTGGGCATGTTTGTTCCTCAAAAGACACAAATACGTGGCCTGGAGCTCAATTTCAAGCAGCGAACAGACTCCCAGGTCTGACTGCTGCTTCTGTAACGTGGTGCAGACATGATGGGTCGACCCCCCGGGGATGCAAAGCAGACTGTGGGCTCCAACGCTCACATTTAACCTGCGCCGAATTACTATTGAGTCAGCTGTCATATAAAATGCTGCTGTCCTGAAGTGTGACAGGGTAGTTGAATCATTGTGTATAAACAGTCCTTGTAAAAGGGTTATAAATCACAGGGTGAAGTGGGGTTTTCTGTACTAGGGTTTGGGTTAGGGTTAGCAGGTTAAGTTAATATTTCCATATGCAGTGTCTAGAAATACAAAGAAAATCAAATAGTGTTTTCTTTAGCTATTCATTTCCATTTAAGCTGACATGCTCATCAAAGCTGAGCAGTTGGTGGCTGTAGTCTTTGGGGCCAGGGGGTCGAGGCCCACTTCTAGCTTTTAATCCAATCAGTGTAGGAGTAAACTAATTTATCCCCGCTGCCTTCACGGGTTCAGTGCTGAAGTTATCCGGATTAGTGCGATAAGAGAGTGACTGTCAGTTTGTAGCTGTGGTCTGCTATAAAGGCGATAAGATGGTTGAATGATTGATAAACCTGTCCACCGCACAGGCAGTTTCATTAATGTAGTCCTGCCCTTTTGTGGACTAACTGGTTTCTTACTCCATTCACAATCTCATATTTACATGTATGATTGAGAGTGGAAACCAGCATGTTGTACGGAGGCCCAAACAGTTTGACATGAAATGATGAATTGACTGTCGCATCAGCTGCCGTTTGGTAAAGGCTAATTACCGATTTTATTCATCACTTTGACATGATTGACAGGTGTATGGCCCTCCCCTGTATGGAAAATAATGGATGGCATTTGTGTTGAAGCTTTTATTGGCTTTCTGTTCTCAGATCTTATCATATCATGTCTGGTACTGCTGCTGGAGAGGAAATCTCAATAATCTCTGGTCAGCGCGGCTGTACTGTTCCATCTTTTCATTGATATTTGATTACTATCTGTACACTGAGGCAATTTTAATGGGCATGAAGTGCAATTTAGAGGGTTTTCTTTAGTGGGTGAGAAAATTGATCTAGGTTTTCCCGGAGGGTTTCATACACTCTTGCTAGGTAATGTGAGGGGAAGTAATATGATAGAATTTCAGTCATTTGAAGGTATGGTTACAAAAATGATTGATTTGTTTGATTTACTACTACTGGTCTTTCCACTTTCCACATTAGCATACAGTATAAACTGGCTCTAGTAAAGTGCCACCTATACCAGACTAGCTTTACAAAAAGCTTTATGGCTTTACAGTGAAAGACAAGATGACCTAGTTCAGTGAAGTTATATAGACGAGGAAAAACTCCAAAAGAACCTCCAAAATTAAGAAATTTAGGCTAGGATTGCGTATAAGAGGAACCTGTTTCAGGGCTGGGAGCCAATAAGTTGTCAAATGATAAACCCAGATCAGCAATGTAACAATATTAAATATTCATATCAAAAAAGGTTCAATGAAACAATTTGCACATTTGTTTGCTTAAGTCTGGTCTCGGACCAATAATCATTCAGAAACAATACAGTGTAACTCAGCATTAAGCCAGTTTCATATATATCCCCTCTAAATCAAACAAGTCCACTACTGGCTGCCCTCTTCTTTAGTGTTTGAATTAGTTTTAGATAGCGAGCTGGGAGCAATGAACAGGAAATGGAGAGACAACCAATCTTGTATCACCGGGCAAGCGGGCAGGCCAGGCACTTTGCTTCAGTGGCAACCTATCTTAGTTAGACCAGTGTCAAGCTACAGAATGACTGCATTTCCCTTGATGAATTTGCCCTTCTGGAGGGCTTCAGTACCCAGTAAAACCTTGAATTTGTCACAAGCTGCGACCCCTATGCGTTTGTGCTTTTTGTGTGTGGTTCCAGAAATGAAGCCATGTAGCTACACCAGTATATCCTTTGTTGTGTTAGTAAAGCGGAGTGTCCCTTTTTTAGTACTGCTGTTTGCTCTCATTTGTTTGTGTGTGGGCAGGGGATCGGGGTAAAAGGTAAGCTAGAGGTGGACTCATAGAACATACAGCAATGAATCATTTGATCATCAAAGGAGCAACACAAGATACTGAAAGATGTTAGTGCTGAACTGAATAATAGCACTCTAATTTAAAAACAGTGGAAAAACAAATGCAAATATGCAGCAAAGACAGAAAATTGTTTTAATTTGCATGTCCTTAATATTTACTATCACACAAAACAATATTCTTTTAGATAATTGTTTTGGAACAACTTGGCTGGTATGTGAAGCCCACAATCATATTGTTTCTCTATAACTACTGCTATAGCCCTATTTTAGAAGTTGTGACTCGAGAGCTCGACACCACATGTGGTCTCATTGTTTTCCTGTGAGACTCACGTTTCAGTGCCTTTGCTGGCATCTCATGGCAGTGTAGTAAAAATGTCACGGAGAGCCTCACCATTTAACAAAATAACAGAGTGTGTGTTGTCAGCTTGGTACAGTGATGAAATGCTGATGGCTTTAGTGGCTGTGTTTCTGACAGAGCTCCTGTCAGCTCAAGTGGCGATCACCCTGGCGAGCAGTAACCAGAGTAATTTCCAGTGTCTGCTATGGTCTGGGAGCTGTATGGCTGACCTGGCAGTTCAGCTGCAGCCCTTTTCTTTTGTGACATTTTCTACAGTCTCCATCATCCTTCTCACTGTTTCCATTACAATTAGGTCGACAGGTTACTCTGGTTACTGAGGTGGCTGAGCCAAAGCCCGAGTGTCTGAGAGTCAGATTCGTCAGAGCTCAGTGTTGACATAGTTTTTGGTGAAATAGGACGTTCAAATATGAGCCTGTAGCAACTGAAGAGCTAACATTCTTACAATATTTCAACATTTCATTGACTAAAGTGGGTCATTATACTGCCTTTGTTGGGTATTGTATAGTGATAACCACATTACAACATCTCATGGCACTTCTTGATGTTTTAATGTTTTTGTTAATTGCTTCAAGTACTGCTGCAGG